CGCCGCGTCGATCTCGATCGGGGTAACTCCCCCCACTGCACCACCCCGCGGCCGTCGCGGGGTCCGCGAATTTCAAATACACCGCCCCATCCCGAGCGGGGGCCGGGGCGCCCGTCTCCGACGGCGTCGAACCCGGCGGGATCATCGCCGAGACGGGGCCGTAGCGGCATTCAAAGAAGCTGCGCACGCTCAGCCGGCAGGAATTCGCGACCCCGAACACCACCACCCAACTCCGCTCCTCCGCTTCCGCCTCGGCCTCGTCGATCTCGGCGACGGCATCCGAGGCGGGGGCCGCCGCATCCCCTTCGTGAAAGGATTTGGAGGGATACCACGTGCCCTCCGGCTTGCGGTCGATGAAATTGCCGCCGATAAAAGAAGAAGGACCTTCTCCTCCGGCTGCTGCTGCTGCTCCGTGAGGGGTGACGGTGGTGGTAAAAGGCGTTACCACAGACGGGGGGAGAATCACCTGCGGGGAGTCGGGAACGAGCCCACGGCGATGGCGCCGCTCCCGCCAATCTCCTGTATCTTGCTTCCACATTCACGCGTTGCCTTTTATTTTATGTTTAGCTTTGAATAAAGTAATATGTCAATAAATAAATGAATAAATAATAGTAATAATGGATCGGAAAAAAGGCACGCTTCGTTTAGGTCGACAAGTGCTCAATGTTCGGTCCTCTCCCTCAGTCGAGTAGCGAAATTAGATACCGTCAGTCCCCTCCTTTTGAATTTTCCCTCGATCTTACAAATTTCTGCGTGAATTGATTCTTTTTTAAAATATGTATTAGCTGTAAGCTCTGTTGATGTTCTATGCCTACTTTTATAATGGTCGAGTAAGCTAGTTATATTGTATCTATTAGTATATTTTAAACAAGAGTTATGAGATACTCTGCAAGACCTTATGAACGAAAGGAAATTTCGAATGAAGATGGACTCGAATATTAAAGCAAAACTCGTTCCGTTAAAGAGCAGCATATGAATTCGCATATCTCACCCGCCGGAAGAAGCCACCGCAAGCACACTGATCCTTCCTTTTGGTGACTGAGCTCCATTGACTGAAACTGGTTACCAGATGGATTAACACATAGGAGCGTTCTTTTCCCTTATAATATTGAAATCTTACCTAGAGTGCCTTCAAATACGTTCCTAAAATCGGTAAGCATTCTTTAGACACCTTACTAATGAAGAATTTCCACCTCCTAGAGAAGCTTTCTACCACTTTCCTCCCTCCTCCAGCACCATACGCGTTATGGTCGTGAGGGGCGATTCTTACTCTAGCATTTTGCCGTGGCATACTGCATCCTCTTATGGTTTCGATATACTCGGGTGCATCTTAACCACTTCGTATGTTTGTATGTTTCGTCCATGACAAGGCGCTTTGATATTCATTGTGTCAGCTGACTTTTTCTGTTATGCATAAGCGGCACCACCCAATACTTTGCAAATATCAACCTTTCTCTGCGGTATTGGTTGCATCGTATCCGGGCATTCGCAATGCACTCGTGCAAACGGAAGTATGACTGTCGTGACCTTTACATAACTATACTGATTTCTCTACAGTTCTGAAAACTCTTTTTGAATGTGTTACAAAAGGGGATAAGGGAGAATCTCTAATGCGAGGGAATCATTCGGAACTATGCGAGAGATGAAATTGAAATATTAGACAAGTGATGTTATACCGACTAGCATTTTATGGGCTGCTCGTTCTAGGACGTGTTGCTACTTTCATTCGTTGGATGTGAGTAGATTTTTTTTTACATCAAAAATAAGAATACAAATTTCAGAACGGCTTGATATGCGTTCCTAGGCCGGAGAATATCCTTCGATACACAGATTAGTATACAAAATGTAATTATACGTACACAAATGCATATCTATCTATCTATATATATATATCTATATATATATAAACATATGTATGCATGGATAACTTTTCCCACTTTTCTCTTTGTGGATAGAAGGGTGGCATTAGACAACGTCTTGGCTCGTCTATCTTGACTGTTAGCTGCCTTTGAGTAGTTACGAATACTCGCAGCATAACTGAGATGACTTCTTGGAAGAAACCAGCTACGTGACTGGCTTGGTGATCGCCTTCATTTTGTTCAACGTGTCTTGTCGTCGCACCTCGTCCATAATCACCTTCTCCGGATTCGGCAACTTTTTGAAGCAAATGAAACTCCGAAGCAGTTTTTGCGCGTGTTGGCGTGGTATGATATTTTCTCCATCCGCGTTGGTTGGTGCGGAGTTGGGGCCGCACGTGGGCAGCCTACACGGCTGTATGGAAGGTGGAAGCCAACGACCCACCCCACCCCACAATTGACGACCCCACAGGCTCGTCAGCAACGCCTCCTTCTCATGCAGCGTGTGGTTATTCGTCGGGGAAGAAGCTGTGGAGGTATTTTCTCGTTTCATAGTCAGCTTTGCCCCGTTGTCGGCGCTTGGATACCCCCCCAAGACCGCCTCGACCGAGAAGCCGCAGAGAAACTTCGACAAGCGAACCTGCCGTTTCAGGGCGTCGGTGAAGAGCAAAAACCCATCCTCCGGGGAAGGCTCCACCTCAGGGCCTCCTCTATCCGGAAGAAAGGAATCCCCTCCTTCTCCATCGGAGGAGCTTTTCACGAGAGTGAGGGAGATCTGCTGGAGGTCGGGCTCCCCCCCAAGCGCGCTGCGCGCGGCGATCAAAAAAGAAGGGTGCGGATTGCCAAGTCCCCACGGCGAGCGCCACTCCCCCGCGGTGGCGAGGATGGCGGCGCCGGAGGTGGCCCTCGCCGCGCGCATCCCCGCCGCCAGTGCGCCATCCGGAAGAAACGCCACCACCTCCTCCCCCTTCCCCTCCTTCCCACCGCCTCCTCGTTGGGAAAAGAAAAGGGGAAGCACCCCTGGCGGCCGCCCTTCCCCCGTGCGAGCCCGTCGCTCCCGCTCCAGGTGCTGCGCGAGAACATCCGAGCGAAGAAGCTCCTGTTGAATCACGTACTCCTGAGCGAGACGCTGCCGACGAATCCCAAAGGAGGCGTAAAAAGGAACCGCTCGCTGCCGCTCCACATCTTTTGAGGAATTTCCCTCCCCCTCCCCAGCCGCCTCGCGATCGAGCTGCCGCTGATTCATCTCCTGTTGCTTCCGTCGAGGGACGCGGTGAGGGCTGAAACGCTCCGTTACCAACGCCCGAAGGAGCTCCTTCCAGGTGGAAGGTCGCACCCCTACCCGCGGCTCCGTTTCACGCGAAAAAAGCCGCGTTACCTCCGTGATTTGTTGGCAAGAATCGACGATGTGGAGGCCGCCGTGAGCGAGATCGAAGGTGGGGAAACCTTCTCCGACAGCGATTGCATGAGGGCGACCTTCCACGGCTGCCACGGCGGCCGCCGGCTCCACCCGAACGATCGCCTCGTCGTGAAGCACCCGCAACGACGTCATCCCTGCGCGGGTGAGGAGGGTTTCCCCGTGATACCCCCCTTCCTCTCTCTCCCCACTCTCTTTATCCTTCTCTCTCTCCCCACCCCCGAGAGGACGACAACGCCGGCGAAGAAGAATCGAGCCGTCGTGGAAGATCGCGTAATAAGCGGCGCGCGGCCGCACAGAGGAGATCCCCACCGCAACAGAGTCTGGCAGCACGAGGAAAATCCGCGGCATCCGCGTGGATTCAATGCAGAAGCGAACCCGCATCGCTGGGATTTGCATCGTGTCGTCAGGAGCTGACCTGGGGAGGTCCGCGCAGAGATTCTCGACGTGAGTGATCTCCCGTCCGAGAGGGGCAAGCACCATGTTTTGCTCCAGCCATTTGCTCATGGAAGCGACAGGGACCCGCCTTGAAACGTTTAAAGTAGTGATGGACGTGCCGTCGGTGTGGAGAACGACCCTTGCGTACGCCCTCGCGGAAAGATTTTCTGGGGAGTCCCTATCGAAACCCCCCACTCGTTTCTCCATCACATCCCCCACTGTAGCAGGGGTCGGAGTCGTACGGGAGGGCTGGTCGGTGTGAACATACCAAGCACTACAGACGCCATCCTCGCGGGATACAACCACGCATTCGTGGCCACTGTCATAGCTCCTCTTTGAGCCCAATCGCCGTGGAAGTAGCACGAATTGTTGAGCCAAGCTCGGATCCTGTGAAGGGTCGGCGTCGTGTCTTTTAGTCTGGTGCGGGATCGGCTCCGCCTGAAAAGGGGTGAGGTCGTGGACAGTGCGCACATAGCAACGCCCCGAGGCGGTTATTAGGGTTTCACAATAGGTTGTATATCTCTTCTCCTGCGGTTCAGTCTTTTCGGCGCCGTCTTCGCCCTTCAGACTCGCCGGATGTGGCGAGCTCATTTGACTTTCGCTATAACTGTGCGAGCCAAACCTAGAATGAGACTGATCGAACGAGATACTATCAAAATGTTCGTTGTTAAAAGCAGGAGCCTGGCTTACTTCACGGTATCGGTTCACGATACCCCCATCTGGGAAGAGAATTTGCTGGTTCCCCGAGAGGAACGTCCGGGTGACGACGCCGGTGTACCGGTCGACCTCCCGCGCCCCCTCCCGTTCCGTCGTGAAATGCCACTCCGAGGCGGCCCCACGGTTGACGTGCACGCAGCACAGCGACTCCACGGGCGCGACCCCTCCCTCGTCAGGGTTCCCGTGGTACGTCAGCCGCAGCGCCCCGGCGTCGCGTGCGAAGCCGTCGTCGGCGTTCGCATCACGGCCGTCGTCGGCGAAGGTGAAGTTGCTGCTCGCGAGGCAGACCGCGAGGGTGTGTTTGGGGGCCCCCAGTGCGGAAGGCACCGCGTGCGGGAAGCCTTTCCCACCCTCCCGGGATCGCCCCCCTGCGGTGTCACAACCCGTCCCCACCTGAGAGGAAAAGAAAAGGGAAGGCCCGCCGTTGTCTGACACGTAAGGACGAGAAGGGACACCCCCATCCGAGACCTGAAGGGAAGCGGGCCCTTGTGACAGCCCCGACCCTCTCCCCACCCCTTGCAGCCGCACCGCCCCCTCTTCATTCAGAGGGGAGGACAGCACCACAGGGACAGGGGGGAGGTCGGGGGTCGCGGCGGACTCCACCAGACCCGTCTCAGCTGGACGGCCCGCGTGGGCCTTTCCGGAGGGGCCGGCGGCGGGTTTACTCGTCGGCCGCGCCGGGCCCTCCCCTCCACTGTGGTGGAGTGCCGCGGCAAGGAGCTGCTGCTTCCGCGAGTAGGGCCGCACGGCGGAGGTCTTCATCGGGGTCGCCCGTGAGGCCTCGGAAAGAGTGAGGGAGGTACTGATCTGGGCGAACTCGGTGCTAAGCGGGGAGGAGGGGAGTGAGGGTCGTACACACGGCACCCACGGCTCCCGCCGCAGGCAGGTCATCGTCAACCCATCATCGAAGCGCGCGACGAGAAAGACTTGAGGACGAGCCGTGCTCGGAAACCCACCCTCAACGTTACGGGGATCCTCCAAGCGGGTGTAGTCGCAATGGAGGGAAACAATCAGCTCGTGCTGCGCGATATATTGACAGACCCGACGCGTGCTGGTCGTGGTCACCTCCACCAGGGAGTTTTCGTATGGAAACACGGTATGCTTTCCCTCGAAAAGCATGTCATGCAGTACCTGAGCGGAGATCGGAAGTGAGCCCCCCCAGGTCATGCCTGCGCTGTAAGCGCAACTTGGCGGCCCATCCGATGGACTAAGGCTTGTTATTGAGGATAACGTGGGGCCTGGCATGACGATCAACGGCATGTTGACATATCGGTTCTGCAGGTGTGCTCGTAACAAATCATACAATGGGGAATTCTTTGAAGGACTCGGTCTAGCGTCTCCAGAGGGGCAACTTGGACCCTTGCCCGACAAAACTTGACCAACGAGGCCGATCGCCAGCTGCTGCGTTTTGCCCGAGTCCTCACCTGCATGGGGATCCGAAGTCCCGCTCAGAGCACGTGATGCGTCGTCGACCGTCCTATTCAACCATTGCTTGCTGGATATATACTCCTCTAAGGAGTAGGTGCCGTTTCGATAAGGGTAGAGCCATAGCAGACGGCGACAGCGAGTAGGGGGGGTACGCACCCCTATCACCCACAGCGTTTTAGCCCGCCCCGACTCCACGGCAGGAGAGGCATTATTAAGACTACCTCTACAATTAGTTGCCTTGACACCCCCCACCAACTCCCCATCCACACCGACGAGAGCCGTGCAGTCAAGCGTGTGGATTGCTGTGTTATGGAGTCCATACCTAAGACAAAAGGCCAGCATCCTGCTGAAGGCGGTTCTAAGCTCGACGGCCTCTTCTAAACCGTACGCCTCTGTCTCCTTATGGTGCTCAGAGTACTTCCCATTAACCGCAAACTCTGTGGATGTCGTTGAGATCCTCGGCAACCCCGTAGAGGTCATTGGCTGATATGGAAAAACACCAACTTCTCGTGCTACTATGTGAAAGAGTGCTTCCTGTGTGATGTGATCCCGTTCCCGCATGCTCACGCTCCGAATTTCTGCGTTCTGGAGCTGCCTCTTTTGAGCCGGAAAGAGCTTTGAAACGTGATTCTTCAACAAATAGCTTATTAACAGTTGCTCTTCAGTATTCCTCATTGTGCCTTTATCCATTCCATTCATTGCTGTTGTCTTCGCGGTGCCGGCATGTGTATATTTAATTGGCTCATTATTGCACCCAGACGCGTTTGGTTCGCAGGCTGTGGGGAACGCCTTTGCCATTTTAGCTACAAACCGTTCGATAAAACGTGTTTCCGCAACCTCAATATCCGACAAATGTGTAAGCATGTCAGAAGAGGAATTACTCTCACGTAAGGCACTTCCAAGAGCCGTTTTGATGGACTGCGCTACCAGCTGCTTCATTTCATTTGGGAGCAATGCTGGGGTTGGGGACTTGAAGACATGATCTATTGGGACTGCACACAGCAGACTCTCGGCAACACTTTTGGGCTTCGTTTCAACTTTCTCCGGTTTGTTTTGCGCCTGCGATCCCAGCCGGCCCAAGCTCGGGGCATGAGAGATCCTTTTTCCAGTATTCACCGGCGTCGGCGATCTACTGACGTGATTTCGAAGCACAGAATCTGAAGACTGAGCACGCATAGACTCGACCAATTGAAGTTGTCGCTGCCTTGAGACCCAGTGTGTGGAAATAGGTGCCGCCACATCAGCTGCCTTTACCAGTGGATCGAGATCATCTCCTTTGTACATTGCAGAGTTGTAGGTCCGAAAGAGAGATACATGAGATTTTGAAATAGGCGGCTCATGGGAAGACGTCTCCCCGTTGACGGCTAACTCGTCGAAAAGGATTTCAGCTTCTTCATGGCTTCCTTTTTTTTTTCCATCCCCTCTCGCCAGAGTCCGCTGCGGTTGGAGTACCACCGCCAGTGGCGGCGGTACCATTATCTCCGTCTTCCCTACCTCATGCTCATTTTTCAGAATGCCAGTCCCATGGCGCACCTCCTCCGTCAGACTTTCGCTGAACACATTGCCACTTTGCGGCTTTTCTGTAATAGAGGGATGAGAAGGAGGGGGAGGAGGCAAGGTGATTGGCTTCACGAGTGCCATAGGGAGCTCATGGGCGATGCAGAACGCGGCTTGAGAGATAAGCGCTCTGACAGCCGAGATGGTTGTGAAATGCCCGTACGCTTTTGAGTCGCGCTGATACAATAGCTGGTCCGAGAGTGTCCATCGCAACGCCTTGTGGCGGCCTTGCGGAGGGCCCTTCGCCTCCGGCTCCTGCGACGAGAGCTCATCGGTGTAGGTGTAAACCCCCTTCAGCAGCCCCGTCGAGGCTACCCCACGCCGCACCACCTCCGACGGCGTGCACGTCCACCACCGCACCTCCGCCTCTGCGCCGCCATTGTGCGACCTGGGATGAGGACCGGGCTGGTGCGGCAGCGGCGT